CCTCGGCCCCCCAAAGTGCTAGGATTACAGGCATGAACTACCACGCCTGGCGGGATTTTTGTATTTTTATTAGAGACAGGGTTTCACCATGTTGGCCAGGCTGGTCTCAAACTCCTGACCTCAAGCTATCTGCCTGCCTTGACCTCCCAAAGTGCTGGGACTACAGGTGTGAGCCACCACACCCAACCTAGACATTCTTATATTTGTATGTTTTGGCTTTCTTTATTTCCTTTTTTTTTTTTAAGGGCTTTCTTTTAACAAAATGTTTCAGTGACATCATTCAGTGACATGCACATGACTTTTTTCTTCCTAAGTATTTCTTCAGATAAATTTCCAGGAGTGGTATTATGGGAAATGCATTCATATTTTCATTACTTTTGACATATATGCCAGGTTGCTGTCTATAAAACACAGACTATGTATTTTAATTTTAGAATCCCTCTCCACATCCTGATTCTTCTACTTGTTTTAACTAAAAGTGCAAAACTTAATTACACTTTTCTGTGTATTTATTTTGCTTTTCTTCTTCAAATTTTATTTTGGATTTACAGGGTATACGTGCAGCCTCATTACATGGGTAAATTGCATGATACTGAGTTTTGGTGTACAAATGATTCTGCCATCAGGTACCAAGTATTGTACCCAGTAGTTAGTTTTCCAACCTTTGCTCCCTCTTTCCATTGCCCTCCCACCAAATCTCCAGTTTCTATTGCTGCCATTTTTATGTCCATGAGTACCTAATGGTTAGCTCCCACTTATAAGTGAGAATATGTGTTTTTTGTTTTTGTTTTTTGGTTTTTTTTTTTTTGAGACTGAATCTTGCTCTGTCACCCAGGCTGGAGTACAGTGGTGTCATCTTGGCTCACTGCAGCCTCCACCTCCCAAGTTCAAGTGATTCTCCTGCCTCAGCCTCCTGAGGAGCTGGGATTACAAGCCCCTGCTACCATACCTAGCTAGTGTTTGTATTTTTAGTAGAGACAGGGTTTCACCAAGTTCGCCAGGCTGGTCTCGAACTCCTGATCTCAGGTGATCCACCCGCCTCAGCCTCCCAAAGTGCTGGGATTACAAGTGTGAGCCACTGTGCCTGGCCAAATTATGGTAAATATATATATATTTACCAGCGTATATGTATTATTTAGTGTGTGTGTGTGTGTGTGTGTGTGTATATATATATAAATATATATATATAATTTTTTAATTTAGTATATATACATTATTTACTCTAGTAAATATATATATTTATATATAAAAAATATATATGTGATATAGTAAACATACTCTAGAAGTATTCTTCTTTTCTAACTATCTGAAAGTGACAGTGTTTAACTCTGAGAATTAGTTAGGATGGCCTTTGTTGGCAAGTAACACAGAAGACTGGAAGTGAGCAGCCTGGAATTGGTGTAGCACCCACATAATATTACCATTGTTCCAGGTTCCCTTCTCTTGGCTCTAGCATATTAATACATGGATTTCCTTCTCGTGATCAGCTTATGATTCCAAAAAGGCTGCTCTGCTTCCAGACTTAAAGACTTAAGTCTTCCTTCCAGACAGGAAGAAGGAAAAAGTACAAATGTTTAACAAGAGGTAAAGGTATATGCCAATTGAGTCTGCCCTCTTTTATTAGAAGATAAAAGCTTTCTTGAAAGCCATATCTAATAATTTCTGTTTACGTCTTGTTGGCCAAAATGACCATATGGTTAACCCAGCTACTAGAGGAGTCTAGGGGAGGAAAACAGTTTTAGTAGGGCACATTGCCACTATGAACAAAATTGGATTTGTCCTAAAGAAAGAAGAGAATGGATATTAGTTAAGCAACTTGCGGTACCTACATTGATGTAAATATATATGTAATTTTTCATTAATGATATGAAAAATTGCACATTTTATTTCTTTTAAACCCAGACTAAACTTACCAAATTTTCTGTCCTTCAATCACATATTAAAGCAAATCAAACCAGAAGAAACAAATGCAACTGGGCTTCTCAAACTTATTTCTTTTTCTTTTTCCCCCTCAGGGCACAATATCACTCAGGAATTTGAAATCTGCAGTTATAGTAGTGTTTGACCAATAAAACTCAGTCAAAACACTGCTTTTAATTCTGAAAGCATTCCTGTGATATGGTTTCTTACATGCCAAAGGAAGAAATCAAGCATTATAGGAAAGGTGTCCTTTTTCTTCTTTTAGTGCCAGCAGGAAAGACTGTCTTTCTCCGTTGCCATAGCTGATATTATTAGCTAACTAGTTAGCTGATTGGCTAACAGTTTCAATCTAGAAATCCCTTGGCTACTCAGTTATCAAAATGTTCTACCTGTGATTGGCTAACAGTTTCAATCTAGAAATCCCTTGGCTACTCAGTTATTAAAATGTTCTACCTGTGATTTTATGTATTTAAAACATGTATAATGGATTCTAATTCTACCCATTTATGTCTTATTGGAGGGTCAAAGATGATGATGAATCTTTCTGAGGAAATGTGTCTTTTCCATTCAAATAAATAAAACTGTTTATTTCCAGAAATAAACAGAATGAAAACTTGTAATTATGCCCTTTAACTGAGTGGGGGTGGAAATTTGGAGAGCAATTACACTTAAATGATGTAAAAATGAAAAATGTGCTTTTCAAAAACTAACAGATTATAAAATTTTGCTTATAATTTTATAAGAGGAAGCTTTTTACAAGTTTTCTTTCTAATTAAGGGTTTAATTTTCCCTTCATGTCCGGGAAAATACTCCTGGATCTAAGAAACTATTTAAACTTGAAAGTATAGGATGTTTGGAATGATTTAGGGTTTCAAAAGCAAACTCTAACCATAAGGCATAGGATTTTGTGCACATTAAAGGCAGTATGGAATTCTGGTTAAGGGAGTGTGCTCTTGAGCCAACATGCTAGGATCACTATCTGAGTGACCACGGGCAAATTGCTTAGCTTCTCTGTGTGTCTCAAGGCTCCTCTTAGGTAAACTGGGAGTGACATTAGTATGTACCTGGAAGGTTGGTAAGAGGATTAATTAATTTCCACAGATAAGTCTGTAGCGTGCCTGGCAATTTGTTAGCTGTCAAAAACATCAACTATGATTTTAGCTATTAAGAATTCCCCTTTCCCAGTACAACTAAAGAGCTGTTTTCTGGGTCATGTGAATTAGTAACCTTCAAAATCCAGGGTTGTGGCAAGCTTCTTTTACTTAAGGTTGGTTCCACTCCCCTTTAAACATAGAGAAAAATGCAATGAAAACAAACTATTAACGTGTTTCCTTTGCTAACAACAAAGTAATAATTAAAGTAATAATTAAAGCAAGCATTGCAACAACAAAAACCAAAGCAATAATCCTTTTACTCTAAAAACCATTTAGACAAAAGCCTCAAAGCATATTTCAAAATATTGTGGTAACAATTTTCAGCATATACTAAACTGATAAAGGCTCATTTTTTTTAGTTGTTCGTTGCTTGAAGCAGGAGCGGCCACGAACAAACCACAGGAACACCAAACTGGGAAGGAATGGCAGTTTTATTCGGCTGGGACCTGCGGTTGGCTCAAGGCCTCAAAAACCGAGCTCCCTGACAAAGAAAATCTGCCCTTTTAAAGGTTTACTATAAAAGGTGCACATATGAAAGGGTCATGATTGATTAGGCAAGCCTGGGGGACGTGACTAGGTAGTGGTCTGAGCAGTTAAGCAAGAACAATGCCTTCCGGCGAGAATTCCTCTATACCATATCCCTGTCTATACATAGGATTGTGGGTTAGGAGAAGGGAGTTTAACCTTTAGACCTGGCCTGCGGCGCCAACCGGTCCTTCCACTGACCTCATCTGACTGACCTTTAATTTTACTTCCTCCTTTTCTCCAAGCACAGGCTCGGAGAAGGGGGTCTCCTTCCTCCTGCTCACTAAGATAAACAAAATTTATCTCTGCCGAAGAGGGATGTCAATGGTGATTTAAAAAGAAAAAAACAAAAACTCTCAAAAATAGCGTCATGGTGCAAGCAGAGAAAAGAGAATCAGGCAGGACTAGGTGGCTCACCCCTGTAACCCCAGCACTTTGGGAGGCCGAGGCGGGCGGATCGCTTGAGCTCAGGAGTTCAGGACCAGCCTGGGCAGCATGGCGAAACCCCATCTTTACAAAAATTAGTCAGGTGTGGTGGTGTGCGCCTGTAGTCTCCGGAGGCTGTCGCCGGAGAATCACTTAAGCTTGGGAGGCGGAGGGTGACACTTGAGTCGAGATCGCAGCTTTCCAGCCTGCCTGGGCTGTGGGAGTGAAACCCTGTCCAAAAACAAAAATAAAAAAAAATTAAAAATTGGACCTTTTCTTTCATAGAGCGATTGTAGTTCTGTCTCCTTCCAGAATAGACAGACATTTGGGAGTCAGGCCTCCCTGACTCAGGCACGAATATCCGCACACTTCTAAAACAATAGCTAAGAGTCAATCACACTTAGGAATTTCAAATATTATGAACAAGTTGTATTGGTTAGCTTTACACTAAGGCCTGAGGCTTCAACATCTGTAGGGCATAGTTTAGTAGCCAAAAAAAGCTTCCCACAATAGCAATTGTTTGGGATTACCCTGGGAACTCCTACTTACATATAGCTCTAGAAATGTAAATACAAGTCATATAATTTCATTTATTACTGCTGTAGATAGAACCCAACTATCCAAAATTCCTGCTCAATTAAATCTAATTCCTTTCATTAAAATGGTAAATGATGTGTAACAGTCAAGATTTTGGTTAATTAAATATTACACAAATGGAACACAATAGATTCTTATATGGCAGAAATGTAAAAAAAAATCACAGTCAAATATATCTATATCAACAAGTATTCTTTGAAATATTTTTTAATCTTGCTAATCATTAGTAAACTCGTGAAAGTTGGTATTGTGATTATTAAATATTTCCCAGGAATAAAAGAAGCAATTTCAAACTTATCTGGTTGAGCTGAAAATAATGCTATGGTTCTGGGATGAGTAAAAGAAATTCTTGACAATATTTACATACAATATTGTTTATCAATACATTTATTAAGTATATTTAGGCTACAATATGCATACTTTAAAGACAATTTATCATGTTTTAAATACTGGAGGGCTAATTTTTACAGTAGGAGTGTGCTATTAGCAAAGGCGCCAGAGGCCACAAGACGGTTGAATTGAGCTTGGAAAGGGAGGAGAGGAAAGCCCGATGGAACCCTGTTGTCTTTCTAGGTCAGAGTTAGTCGGTGCCGGTTAGACAGTGAAAGAGAAAAGGTCAACGCAGGAATTTGGTCTCTCCCTGACTTCTCAAGATGAAAGTCGGGGCTCTAGGGCTTCTCCAGACTGTGAAAGAAGCCCACGAGTCTTCCTGGCATGTTCCTAAGTGGCAGTAGGTTTAGGATGGAGGTGGCAGGGCTGAGGCCCGTGGTCCTCGCCCGCGCCGTCTGCACCCCTGTCCGGAGGCCAGGATGGCCGCGCCCACCATGGGTAAATTTCAGGAGTGCCTGCCCCAGGCTGGAGAACTCCGCCAGGCTGTGCGAACGGGATCCTGCGAAGGTCGGCATTAAAGGAACACACAAATTCAGCGTCGTAGCCCCCGCGGCTTAACCGCATCTATTTTTATATCTAAGCCAAGGTCACTCTTTAATACCAGACCATCGCCCTAAGCTGGGCGCTGCCGGGTGACGGCGGCCGGGGCGGAGAGAGAGGGGGCGCGGGTGGCGAGGCGAGGGGCCGTGTGGCGCCCCAGGGCTGGCGTAGCCCGCACCTGCAGGGCCGGCGTCTGACAGCCGGGGCTGGAGGGAGGCAGGGCGGCGTCCCCGGCGCCGAGGAGGGGCCGCGCAGCACAGGCGGGCGGGGGGATTCGCGGTGGGCGCGGGCGCTGCGCGGAAGCGAAGGCTGGAGGCGCTGCGGCGCTAGTGCGTCACGTCGGCGGAGGGCACGGTGGGCCGCGGCCGACCCGCGACGAGGAGCCGGGCGTTCGGGGAGAGCGGGAGGTGGCCGCACCCGCCTTGGCAGCTGCGAGCGGTGCGGCCCGGGGCTGGCCGGAGGTGGCTAGCGAGCAGCCGCCGGCTCCATTCATTCGCGCGGCTCCGCCTCCTTTCCCGGGCTCTTCCAGCGGCACCCGGGGCGCGTCTGAGGTGAGTGCGCTCCCCATCCCGGGCGCGGACCGCGGGGTGAGGCCGAGGCGGCCGCGCCGGGCCCTGCGTCCCCGCCGGCACTGGCCCCGCGGACACCGAGCTGCGACGCGGTCCGCCGGCTGTGGGCGGCCCGTGCGGGCTGGGCCTGGCGCAGACCAGTGCGGGCCGCTAGGGCCCAGGGCGCGCGTCCAGCTGGCGGCGATCTGCGAGGGCCCGCCGGGGCGTGTGGCGCCCCCAGGTGCGCCTGCCTCCGCCTCGGCGCCACCATTTTGTGTTTGGGAATGCCGGTCTTGGGTCTTTTCCGCTCGCCTCCGCCGCAGGCCGGTTCCAAGCTGCGGCTTGCCGCCCCCTCCCCTCGCCCTCTCTCCACCTGGATCCTTGGCGTGCGCGCCGATTGCTTTGGCTTGGGGAGACCCGGACCCGGGGAGGTGTGGAACTTCAGCGTTTAGACTCGGCTCACCCGAGCAGGTGGCCTCCAGAGATGCTCTGACCGTCTTCCTTTACCTGTAACTACTTTTGGAATAGATATCGTATGATTCTCTCTGCTCTAGAATGCAGGTCGTTGCAGTTTTGTCCTAATTCTGCTCTCAGCTCTCCATTATGCCGTTTTTCAAGAGACCTGGGCCTCAGGAGGTGAAGCCTTGAGCCCTGCGTGGTTTATGGCTCGGGGGTCTGGATTACACTGACTCCCATGACTGTCCTTGGGGAGAAAGGTTGAAGCATCTCACTGGCTTTTCAGTGTCTGGGAACCGGCGTGGGTATCGTATTCCGTGGATTCGAAGATAACCACCTGATGCAGGTCACCTTCCCCCTCTGGGAGAGCCATTCCCAACGTAAATTAAAACGAGTGTCAGGATTTTGGGGGAGGTTGGGACCAGAGGAACATATTTCTAAAAAATTACCAGAAGAGAAAGTTTTCATTGTGATTCTCACAGAACTGTGACACAATTTGTCATTTTCAAAGTTCCTGAGAATTTGGGAATCCTTGTTTTAATTTGTTGGCGCCTCGAGAATTACTACTTAGGACCTGAGCAGATTATACCGGAGCCATTTGTATTTTTTCATTGCATCACAGACAGGGATTACAATCGGGAATGCTGGCTGTTGCATAATGCACACATTTGGGCCCTGAAGGGAATAATTCACCGAAGTGGATCTGGGTTTGGTGTGCCACGCGTTTTTATTTTTTATATAGGATGTACAGATAATCTTTGCAAACTACGTCTTGTTATCCTATTATGAAGTGTTTACAAGAAGAAAGATTTTTAGTGACTAATATGGACCAGACTAAAATTTTTAGTGTTTCAGTTTTGCTGGTTTTGGAGGAAAGGAGGCTAGGAATGAGATAAGTCCGTTTGTCATAATACTTGAAACGCAAGGAAAGATAAAACATGATGTCTTTCACAGAAAGCTTGTAGCCATTATAGTGGACTCTAATGCTTAAATTTATGATGAGGATCCATTTGGGGTCCTTAGAAATAGCTTATGTGAGTAGCAACGTTGACCTTCCACGAGTGACCATAAATTAATGTGTTTTGCCTGTAGATTTTAGGTTCTAAAAGGCTTCAAATTAGTCTGACCTTTGAGATGGTATTCAAATCATTACAAATGGTGTCATTTATTTAATAAAGATAGAATATATATAAAAGGATTTTGATTTGGAGAAAACAAAATAATTGTTTTTGAGAGTAAATTCCATGTCACCCTCCTTTTTAAACTTTTTATTTTGTTTTGTTGAAGACACTCCTACTAATTCTGTCTTCAAACAAGTGATTCCATATCGTGTACCATCCGTGGCAGAAATATCATGGTTCCCATTAAAGATATGTTTGTTCCATAGGGAGAATTATGGAGGTGAGAAGAACCTGGGATATTAAGAGATGAGTCTTGGTTTAGGGAATTAAGTAAAAAAAAAAAAAAATTGCCTGCTAGAGATTGCAGATGACCTGTCTGGACCTATCCTATGCCTGTGGGGAATGAGATTATTTTTTTTTCTAGTGAATAACAGCGCTGCGTCAAACACAGCTCTTACAGTTTTACATTGATTCTGTCATTATACAAGTCAGAGAAGTTCACTGAATCGGTAAGATTGTATTTAATTGACTCCAGTTTGGAAGTGATCTTGGTGTACTTTTTGATCTTTGAAGTTGCATGAGATTTTGAGCATTGTTTTACCAATGGTTGAGAAATAGAAAAGAAACACCTGATATTTTTCTCCATTAGCTCCTACCTAAATACTCCATTTTAAGCCTTAAGCATATTATGTTCAGTCATCTGCCTAGAAATTCAATAAGATTTACTTTTTAAAGGTGACTAGAATGTAAGAGTTGAGTATTCATATATAGATTCAAACAGTGTCTCTCAAGGGTTCTGTATGGATTGTTGGTTGGGTAGGAAGTTAAACAAAACTCTTACGTTCCTTCCCCTAAGATTTTATGATTCTAAATGGAAAAAAGGAATTGTTTGATTATTGTGTTTAAGATGATGTTCTCTTTACACACCATTATTTTTTGTATATTTAGCCCTAAAATTTAAGTTTTAAATTGGTTATGCCTCAGTGGTAGTAGGAGTATTTCACAATTATTTCAATGATAATAAAATCACTCAAGGTAGAATTTATTAAGGAAAAGGTGTGATGATTTAAAGATAATAAGGGAAAAACTAATAATTTATCAGAGACGTCCTATAATACTTATTAGACTCATGGAGTTTTAGAGCTGGTATATGATACCTTAAGGTTTACGTGCTGTGTACAGGGGACTACTCAACTATGCTAACCTATTTTTTTTAGGCTAGAAAGTTTGTGACTTACGTAGATCCCCCCTGCCCCGCCTTTATTTTTCTTTCTTTCTTTTTTTTTTCGTAAAAGATGGGGTTTCACCATGATGGCTAGGCTGGTCTTGAACTCCTGACCTCAGGTGATCCACCCACCTCAGCCTCCCAAAGTGCTAGGATTATAGGCGTGAGCCACTGCACCTGGCTTTTTTTCATTATTATTATTATTTTTAAAGGATATCATTTTAGTTACTAGCTGTTCAAATAAGATGCTAGTTTTAGGCTAAACAAAGAGCTTTCATTTATTCAACAAACATTGAATGTCTGTTGTGTGTTTTAGGGCACAAACAGGCCTTACTGTCACGGAGTCTATAGTTTTAGTGAAGTATTGTGGATTAAATGTTAACAATTCTTTAGAGCCTAACTGTACAAATATTTTTTAAAAATACAAGTTGGAAACAAATTTAGCAATTACATTTTTAAAAAAGTGCCATATTGCCACACTTTATTTGTAACTTTTAAGGTATAGAATTACTTTAATTTGGAAAATTCATTCCAGTAGTCCTTGTAATATGTATTTTTAGGCTGGATACAAAAACATGAATGTGCAAAGTAATCTAGAAATTCAGTCTTAAAGGTTAAGACAATCATTAAGCAGGTAATTCTGTGAGTGAACTGAGCAAAGTGATATAGGGCATGCAGAGGAGGGCTCCATTAATTCTGTCTGAATGACTCTGGAAGGGCTTTACGGAGGTGGTGACAGTTGAACTTGGTCTTGAACAATGGGTGAGTGAGAACTTGTCAGAAGGTTTTCGGGATGTGGGCTATGATGAGAGACAGTCCCAGCAAATTCTAAAGCATAGAGTTATAACTGGTCCTGTTTTGAAAACAGTGAAGTCAGTTGATCTGGCCCAGGTCCCATGGTGAGTTGGGGGCCTGATTGTGAGTGGATGTGTGTGAGTTTTGCTCCATGCTGATGGGGAACCATTAATGGGTTTTCGAAAGAAGAAATGAACAGACTGGGGTTCTCTCTCTTTAGGAAGATCATTCCAATAGCAGTTTAAAAGCTAGATTGGAGTGGAGAAAAGATACGAGCCCTTATGATAATCTTAGCAAGGCCTTGAAGCAAAGCTGTGGCAGTGGAGGTGACAGAGGAGGAGCTAGGGTTGAGACACATCTGCTGAAGTAGAGAGGCAGTATTTGAGGTGGAAAGAGATGTGCTTTGGTGTCACACATACTGGATTTAAGTCAGGGTACCAGGGCTCTGCTGCCATGGTTGTGTAAATGGAGGACAGTTACTTAGGCTTGGCTTCTTTAGCAGTAAAATGAGTGTGAGACATACCTTGCAACCTTATTGAAATGACCAGTAGTATATAAAGCTCATTGCTTGACATGTGATATGTGCATATTGATAATACCACCCAATTTTGTTAATGATGACAATGAAGAGTTTGTGGTATTAGGGAAAGGAATGACTGAGTGGAGGATGACTTCAACAGGTTTTAGCATACAGCTGGGTAGGTGGTTGCTTTGATAACAGTGTGAAGAGAGGAGGAAGAGAGGGTTGTAGAAAGAGAGAAGTTAACTGTTTTTTTTTTTTTTTGGAGTTGGAGTCTTGCTCTGTCGCCCAGGCTGGAGTGCAGTGGTGCGATCTTGGGTCGCTGCAACCTCTGCCTCCTAGGTTCAAGTGATTCTCCTGCCTCGGCCTCCTGAGTAGCTGGGATTACAGGTACCCACCACCATGCCTGGCTAATTTTTGTGTTTTTAGTAGAAACAGCGTTTCAACTTGTTGGTCAGGCTGGTCTCGAACTCCTGACCTCAAGTGATACAGCCACCTCGGCCTCCCAAAGTGCTGGGAGCTACCACGCCCAGTCAACTTCGGATGTACTTTATTTAGATTTGGGTTTCCTGAGGGAGAATCTAGGTAGAGGTGTTGAGTAAACTGTTAAATATGAATCCGACTTTCTGGAGAGCTATCTAGGGAGATAATACAGATTTGGGAGCAGCCAGTGTGTATGTATATATTTGATAAATGGAGCCACTAGACAGGATAAGATTTCTCTTATTTTATTTATTTTTTATTTGTTTTTGGCCAAAATGGGAAAAGACAGGATAAGATTTCTAAGAGCAAGTAGAATAGCCAAGGCTTATAGTTAGGTGAAATATTGTGAATTAAAATGTTTAAAATGTTCCTTAAAGTCTAAATCACGTTTTTGAAAATAGGAATTGGGAGCAAATCTGTTTATTAGATTGGTTTTTTTTTTTCAAGTGCTACATTGCACGTGGAGGATCCCTGCATTCATGGATTGTACAGAGGAGATGGGTCAGTTGCTGAAAGAATCTAAGAAGAATTGAGAGAGAGTATTGTCTTGAGTGTCAAGGAAAGACAAATTTTTAAGTGACAGAAGGTGGTCAGTTTGGTGTAGTCTGTCATAAGGCCAAGAGGAGTAAGCATGAAAATAATCAGTTGAATTTGGGACTTGGAGTGTTATTGGAGATCTTATGAGGAGTAGTATTAATATAGTGTTAAGGGCAGAAGCCAATTTAGGAATTCATAGAAGTGGAGAAAAAGTGAGTTTGACTTTTTGTTATACAATGAAAGATAAAGTACTAAATCATACTAATAAGGAATTTTATAGTCTAAAAGCTATACCAGTGCTTTCAAGTTTGGATTGGCACCTGATACACCTGATTAATTTACTTTGATCCTTCAGTCAACAGTAGTTACTACTCAGTGCAGTTCTACATTTTAAGCCCATAGGCATAGGTTTGAATTCTGACTTTGCTGTTTCTAGCTGCCTTTTATTAAGATATTAAATCTCTCCTGGCCTCAATTTCCTCATCTGTAAAAGAGTGGTTATTACAGAATTTATCTCAAAATGTTGTTGACAGAATTACCTAAATGTGATAATGTATTAATAGTGAGCTACTAATATTATTGTCTGAACCAGTATCTAGTTCAGTGATCCTCACCTTATCTTTTCTCCCTTTTATTATCTCTCTTCACCCACCCCATGACCATGTACACTTTGTTGAGGTACATTTCTTTCT